TTTACTATTATTTTTCTTAAATTTTTTCTTCTTAGGCTTCAAAGAAGTATTTTTGTGAGTTTCAAGACTAGCATTACTTGAAGTGATTAAATTTACCTTCGCCGTGATGTTGCTATCTTCTTTTTGTAAAAGTGCATCTTGGTCCTTTGCCTCTTCACCATCGTACTTTTCCACTTTTTCATGATGAGAAATAATTTCACCATCATCCATGGAGGTGTCATTAACTTTATTAGGATTCTTCTCAGTTAACACATAAGAGAAACATTGAGAAGACTTAAGTAGAAAAGTACTTTACCCTTTTCATCTTTTGAAATGGTTACCATTGAATCGAAATGGCTTGTTAAGGTCTCCCATCTTGACATCCGCAATTTTTTCAATTGTAGTCATTCTGAATACTCCTTAAAATTGTTAGTGAAAACTTACAGGATAACAAAATACAAGATTACAATTGAAAATAAATATGAAGAAAATAAATCTCTTCAGGCTGAGGAGCGGATATCTCGCGCTCTTTAAGGAGATTCAAGCCCACTGCAGCAAATGTTTTCAAGAAATACCTCCCTTTAACTAATAAGAACTCTCTTTCAAATACGCTATCATGCATTATATAGTGTGCTTTCCAATTTCATTCTGCTCTCTAAAGATGTGGTATCTATCTCCCTCCAGGTTACCCTTCTACTACTGTGGTGTTGCGTGAAAGTGAAGCTAAGCTGTTATCATTTTTATATCATGAATATGGCAAGGGGGTGACATTTCAAGAACGAATGAAGGGATTTTCACTATGTGATGCAATAGCTGTGAAAACATGTAGAGAGATTGAAGGAATCTTTTGTGACTACGTAGCAACACTACTTGAAAAGCCAGTCCTTTACATTGGACCTGTAATTCCCGAGCCCAAAAAGGAGCAACATGAATTATCAAATTGGCTCGAGAAATTCGAACAAGGATCAGTAGTGTTCTGTGCATTTGGGAGCCAAATGATTCTTGAAAAGAAACAGTTTCAACAACTTGTTTTAGGCTTTGAACTGACTGAGTTACCATTTCTTTTAGTTGTTAAGCCACCTCAAGGGACAAATTCAGTAGAAGAAGCCTTGCCAGAGGGATTCAAACAAAGGGTTCAAGAAAAGGGATTGATTCTTGATTGTTAGGTGCCACAATTGAAGATTTTAAGACACAAATCAGTTGGTTGTTTTGTGACTCACTGTGGTTATGGGTCGATGTGGGAGTCTTTGGTGCTGTGTGATTGTCAATTGGTACTTTTGCCAAGGCCTATTGATCACATTTTTACTGCTAGGCTTATGGGACAACACCTTCAGGTTGGTGTAGAAGTGGAGAAGGATGAAAATGATTTGTTTACAAAGGAGAATTTGTGCAAGGCTGTGAAATGTGTGATGGATAAAGATAGCCAAATCGGTTGTTTAGTGAAAGAGAATCATAGGAAATGGAAGGAACTTCTTTCGAGTCCTGGATTCATGAGTAACTACATTGATCACTTCATTCAAGACTTGCATGGACTTCTAGTTGAAAAGACCTAGATGAAGTTACGAGAAGTGGATCGACTGTTGAAGTTACGGGGTTGGCAGAATCTAGTGTATTCATGTTAAGAAATTTACTTTATATGTATGAATAATCTACCCCTAACCAATTGTTGTCCTGTTTTGAAATTCAGAACCCATAAACTTAAAATGTATCTAATGATGTTACTTGCATTTATTAGATGTTTTATGTGGTGTTTAGGAGTCCTACACATTTCCTTCAAATTTAGAACCCTTTTTTGTTAACATTTATAGACTTCTGAACACTCAAATTACTTCTATCGTATGAAAAATGGCTCATAAATATTTTTTATTCATCTTTTGAGCTAAATATATCTTATTTATCGTATGAAAAATGGCTCATAAATATATGTTTTATGTGCTACTGCCTATGCTAGAGCTTAGAGGTTAGATAAAAGTTATTGATTGTTGGCTCTTGGCTGCTGCCTGCTACTACATTCAATTCGAACATTTTGCTAATTTTGTTCTCATTTAAATGCATTTGCACTGAAATAATCATATAAGAAACATCCAACTGAATTAGTTTGATTTGGTGTTTGGTGTACATCTTTTCAAAATCAATAAAAAAAAAAGAATGAAATGCCCACCCTTATTTTGTTGAATGAGTCCTTTAAACGCAAGCTGATTAGATGTGTGGAATAGAGGAATCGTACGTATCTATTAGTGCAGCTGGCTACCGTTAAGAGATTAAACTTTCAGATAAAACTAAATGGCTATCAACTTCTCATCAATTAAATCAGCTCTGAATATAGCTATATGAGGTCATTTGGTATGCAGAATTAAAATTATATGCTTTGAATATAGCTACTAAATGAGCTCTAAATGTAGCTATATGAGGTCGTTTGGTACGCCAAATTAAAATTATACTATATTTTGGTAGAAGTTATAAATTTACCTCAACCTCCTGAGATAAATTGAATAAACTGAAACAGAGGTAGCAATTCATCAGAGGCAAAGAAGAAGAAAAAAAGATGTCAAAGCTTGAAATAGTGATGTTCCCATGGTTTGCTTTTGGACACATGATTCCATGTATGAATCTATCAAATGAACTTGCAAAAAGAGGTCACAAAATCTCATTCTTGTTTCCCAAAAATGCTAAAATTAGACTTCAAAAACTCAATCTTTACCCAAATCTCATCACATTTTACAAACTGACAATACCTCATGTTGATGGCCTTCCATATGGAGCAGAGACTACAGCTGATGTTCCTAAATCATTGGAGAGTCTATTAGCAACAACTTTTGATGAATTGTATGATGAAATCAAATCTTTTCTTCAAAATCTAAAACCCCATTTCGTTTTCTTTGATATTGCTTATTGGATTCTTGATTTAGCACGAGAAATTGGGGGTATCAAGACTCTGTTTTGCACTGTTTTTAGCCCTGCTGCCGCATCTATACCATTTGTTAAGTCACCAGATAAGACGGCATCAACCGCAGCTGAGCTAGTAAAGCCACCACTAGATTACCCTTCTACTACTGTGGTGTTGCGCGAAAATGAAGCTAAGTTGTTATCATTTCTATTTCATGAATATGGAAAGGGGGTGACATTTTACGAACGAGTGAAGAAGGGAATGACAGGATGCGACGCAATAGGTATGAGAACATGTAAAGAGATTGAAGGAACCTTTTGTGACTACATAGCAACACATTCTGAAAAGCCAGTCCTTTACACGGGACCTGTTCTTGCTGAACCGACAAAGGGGCCTTTAGAAGAACATGGATTATCGGATTGGCTCGAGAAATTCGAGGCAGGATCAGTAGTGTTTTGTGCATTTGGGAGCCAAATGATTCTTGAAAAGAAACAGTTTCAACAACTCGTTTTAGGCTTTGAACTGATTGAGTTACCATTTCTATTAGTTGTTAAGCCACCTGAAGGGACAAATTCAGTAGAAGAAGCCTTACCAGAGGGATTCAAAGAAAGGGTTCAAGAAAAGGGACTGATTCTTGATTGTTGGGTGCCACAATTGGAGATTTTAACTCACAAATCAGTTGGTTGTTTTGTGACTCACTGTGGTTATGGATCGATGTGGGAGTCATTGGCACTGTGTGATTGTCAATTGGTACTTTTGCCAAGACCTTTTGAACACACTTTAATTGCAAGGCTTATGGAACAACAACTTAAGGTTGGCGTAGAAGTACTGGAGAAAGATGAAAACGATTTGTTTACAAAAGAGAATTTGTGCAAGGCCTGTGAAATGTGTGATGAATAAAGATAGCCAAATTGGTTGTCTTGCGAAAGAAAATCATAGGAAATGGAAGGAACTTCTTTCAAATACTGGCTTCACGAGTAATTATATTGACAACTTTGTTGACAGTTTGCATGCACTTCTCGTTGAAAACACCTTTCACCTAGATTAGCGGCAAAAATGAGTAGGTGTGAATAATTCATGCCCAATCAATCGTTATCCTGTTTTTTAAATTCAGAATTCATAAATTTAAAATATTATATTTGAATAAATATATTTTACTAATATTGTCATAAATATAATGATCATCTAATATTGACATTTTTATTAAAAGTTTAGTTTGGTCTTTGATTACATCGGAATTTTAAGTTTCATTGTATCTTGGATATTTTATCAGAATTTTAAGTTTCATTGTATCTTGGATATTTTAATGTAGTATTATGAGTTATACACCTTCCTTCATTTTTTACTACCTCAAGAAAAATACCATCGAGAATTACTGATACGTTTGTTATATCTTATAACATGTATTGTGTTAGTAATGCTCCAACCTAGTATGATTAAGATAAAAACTCTTATGATTATTTTCTGAACCATCTAAATTACTATTGTTGACACCCAATTTCAGACCTCCACAATATATATTAATTATCGAGTTTCTTAAATTTCGAACGACTTGAAATAATTAGTTTTAGAACATTCAAAAATTTCAAGTTATTTTAGTCGCTTTTATAATTTTTAAGTAATATATATGTTTTGTATAATTTTGTATATAATTAGTATATATTTTATAAATATTGCGAAAATCATCTCAAAAAGATTCTAATTTTAGTAAGTATTTTATTAAATTAGTTTAGTTTAACTTATGGTTTTAATTTTGAGTCAGTTAAGTTTAAATGAGTTTGTTATTTCATTTCGTTGAGATTAAGAAGCTCGTCAATTAATTTATATTAATTCGTCTCGTTTAAAGTTTTGACCAAATTCTTCGATTGAATTTGATTTGGTTACGATTGAAAGTTACATGGACAATTATTCTTTATCAATTTATCTCAACCAATTAAAGGGCCAATTTTGGGCCTTCTATGTTGCATGACCAACAGCCCATCTCATCTTTTCCCAATTCCCATTCCATTAATTTCCATTAGTTCCCAGCTAATTAATCCAACCGACACAACCCACTAAGAACCCATTTTTCCACTCCCAATTGTCAGCCCAATACAATATACAATACATACAATCATTCCCAGCCCACCGACATACAACATACAATTATAACAACTTACAACCAACAACACTAAACCGACAAACCCCGACCCACATTTTAAACCCCCACCCGGCCCTTTCTAATTCACAAAAGAAAATTAGAAGAGATTTCCAGCAGCCCCAACGTTCTAAAACAACTAGCGGACGGCGTCTTCACAATTTCTGTCAAATTAGACGGAAAGCGGTAGCGGCATCAGTGTGCAGAAAGCGTACACTGTGTGCTTTGTCTCCTTCCTCAGATGTCCCTCTCAGTTTCGTACTAGTAGCAGCAACACACGGCTGTCCCCATTTCCTCTTCCGGAATGGGGACGAAATTTCAGAAAAAGGGTGTTTCCCTTAATTGGTGAAAGGAATTGGGAGTTTGAAATTGGGGTTGGCCTCAATTTCTATCCGTTTTTCCCTCCACATTCCGAACCGGAACTCTGGTCTATAATTACCCTCTTTTCCATTCACTGTAAGGGGGAGAAAAAATTGGAAAAGGGTAAAAAATTTTGAGTCAAGAAAAAGGGAAAAGATTGAAAAAGGGTGGAGTTTTTATCGATATACGGACGTAGAGAGAAAATGATATACGAAAATATAGATATATAAGGGATACAAAAATAGCAAGGAGGACGATTTTTTATCCTTTCTATTGTTATTCGCTTTGCTTGTTTATTGGGATTTTTTCGAGGTCCAAGCTTGTGGTGGGGGAAGCTCGCATCTTTGGCTCATTCGGTCTCCATTTCGCTGCCATCGAAAAGGTAAACTTCACTTTGATCTTAGCTCATTTTGGTTGATGTTTGTGTGAGAGTTGAAGGTTTCTATTGACTCTCCTCCCATTCATTCGAATGCTTCAGTTTTGTTTGAGTTACTGCTAATGTCTGATAAAAGATTTTCGTATCACCAGTTGGTGTTTTAGTTGATTGAAGCGTGGAGTATATTTATGTGTGTGATTTTTGCCCAGAATGCCGTGATTAATGGTTTAGCTCGCCTCTGATTTTTATGACCAAAGTTTATTTCCTGGTTCTTGTTTGGCTGCTGTTAATGGCGCTTTTCTTCTAAAAAATGGCGGTGGAATCTTAAACTAGCTAGTATGAAAGTTGCTTGTCGTTTTTTTTTTAGCTATATTTTGTTGATGTAGTCACTATTTTCTCCCCATTTTGAATTTTCGAACTGTCTTGCTGTCCAACATGCTTTGTTTAAATCGAGTTTATGTCATCATTTTGTTTAAATTTAAATTCAAAGTGCTCACCATTTGTAATTGAGTTATGAAATGCAAGGTTTTGATTTTTCTTTAAGATACAACTTGTTGCAATTCTTGTTTTCTTTCCAAGTCATTGCATATTTCTTTTCTTTCTGAGCATCTTTGCGGATTGGCATACACATGCTCTTAACCTCTTTCGATGTCTGGATCTGTTAAAGAATCGCATAAGAATATCAGTTTAGTATGTGTTGCTCACCTTATTTGGTCGCTAAATTCGTTAAGAAGATTGTTAAATAGCACGTTCAATATTCTAAAAAATAAATTCATTATTGCCTCCCCATCCACTACATGGAATATGATCCCTATGTTCATTAGTATAGCTGTTGGTCCAACCTTCTATTTTTATTTTATTTTATTTTTCTTTCTTATTTCATATAACTGATCCAATGATTACTTATTTACTATTTTGGTTTTAACTTGGTTAAGACTTGTATCATCGCTCTTGTTGTTATTTCTTTTGATGACTCATTTGCATGCTTGAAGTAATATAATTAATGCACCATTGACCTTAACACTTGGATAAGTTTGGA